GATATGATTGGGCTTGATGACGTTGGTGTTTTTAAATTAGATGAAGATACATAACCTTGCAAAGAATCCGATTGATTAATAGCGTTTTGGGGAAGCGAACTTGTCCGACGAGGAGAAGGAACAGCTGCAGCTACGGGTGTAGGCCCATCATCTTTTAAGGTAATACGTATAGGACCAGAATCATCGTTTAACTCTATGAAATCAAGCACAATGTCATTTTCTACTTCTTCAGGTTCAATGACAATGTCTGGTGTAGACAATGCCTTGTCATCACTTGTATCAAATCTCTCGTTTTGAGGTAGCGTTAAAGCATTAGAAAGTAGCGATTCTGGTTGACTTTTTGGGATAATTGGTAATAAATTCCCGTTCTGCTTATCTTTATCGGAAGGTACATGTGTTGATTTTGTCCTTCTGTGCGCAGAAAATCTTCGTGGGTTTTGTTCTCCAGCAACTGAATTCCGACGAATCTTTGTACGTGCTGCACGTTTAAGTGCTGGTGCCATTCTAGGAATTAGAACAGGTGACTCTACAATAGCAGAAGAATGCCGATCAAATATGTTCGGATCTTTGGGATCAGTATTGGAACCTAGTAATGATACGTGTTGAACAATAAAGCATGCATATTAGATCCAATCGGAGACACATAAATGGAAGGTTAATTTCAACCATAAATAAATATCATATATAAATTTGTTTTTTTTTTTTTAAAAAAAAAGGATCATACAATCGAATATTTATTAATATAAAATACACAAAATATAGATAAATTGTAATAGCAATGTTTACTAATAAACTACAACATCGTTGGTCTTTCTTACCTATAAAAGGGGACAAATTCAAGCTGAGACTCCTTCGTATTGTTTTAACTTTTGTGGGAACAATGTTCTCTGCGGATGTAACCAATGACGACCAGTCACGATTTTTATCGAATTCCATTTTTTTCTCTGATTTTTCATCCTCATCATTTTCTGTTGGTATATATTGCCTAGATAGGGCAGATTTACGCCTCCTCAAAGAACCCACTCCTGTATTGAACCTATCTTTTGCATGATGGTTTAACCATTTCCTAAATTCATTCGGAGCTATTTCTGGATGAAGATGTGCTGGTACCCAAAATAAATGCGATGGATTGTTAGTTTCGATGTGAAGCTCTTCTGTGATCGGCTCGGAATTCAACGTATAGCACGTGCTATCGTCTTCTAAGCCTATAATAGACTTTCTTTTAAGGGTAGCATCTATTAAACCGGGAAACTGTTTCCCTGAGGATGAATCTGATGAATCACTGGCAATGTTCGTATTGGTATCACTTATATTAGTTGAGGATTTAGTCTGTATGGATGTAACTGAAGCTGATGTGATCTTTTTGCCATTTTTTATGTTCTCTCGCTGAATGGTTGAATTAGACTGGTCTTTTATTTGTTCTGTCCGTAAATCATCCCTAGTACCGCTTGTGGTTATAGTAGAACCTTGTGTCTCTTTTAAAGTACTTAGATCGTCAATTTTGATGCGGGGCAGTTCAGAAGTGTCGTTAGCTCCAAAAACAGCATCCAAATATTTCATTGAGAAGTCAAAAAAACTTTCTTCCGGACTTTCGCTAACCATTGTTTTTTTCAATATCTTCTACATACGAAAAGTGTTTTGTAATAACACATATTTTCTCTCAAATATACATTATATTCGCAAAGTAATACAGTGGCTAACTTTATTATCTGATTACCTAAATTTCGAGATCACAAGTTCTGTGACTGACGAAAATCACCCTTCGATACTTCCGATCGGGCTAATCCGGACAAACATATGTGCAAGTAATACAAATTCCTAATTTGGGGGACGTCTAAAGCGGAGTAGGTTACACGAAATCGAAAAAATTATTATTTAGGGTTAGGCCTGCGTTAGGTTAGAGTTAGGTAAATTACCTTCTCGACATTTTTTTATTAGCGTATCAAGACAGGTTTAGTTAGCCAAATTCGTGCCCCAGTATCGCCATCAAAATTTTCACCCCCACGTGATGATAGACCAATAAAAAATTATCAAGTAAGTTAATTTTTTAAAACTTTGAGCAAAGGTTTCTCAACAATCACCTAATCAATCTTACTGAATTTTTTTATTTGAATTCTACAAATATGTAGAATTTGAATAAAAAAAAAATCATCAAAATTGGTTAGGTAGCTATTGAGAAACCTTCGCTCAAAGTCAAAGCAAATCTATCTCCGCCTATAAACAAATTGTTATTTAATTTTTTTTAAAACTTTGAGCGAAGGTTTCTCAACAACTACTTAACCAATTTCGATAAAAAATTTTTAATTCGATTCTACATATTTGTAGAATTCAAATAAAAAAAAATCATCAAAATTGGTTAGGTGGTTGTTGAGAAACCTTCGCTCAAAGTTTTAAAAAAAATCAAAGAATAACTATTTATAGGCGGAGATAGATTTGCTTTGACTTTGAGCGAAGATTTCTCAATAACCACCTAACCAATTTTGATGATTTTTTTTTTATTCAAATTCTACATATTTGTAGAATCTGAATAAAAAAAATTTCATCGAAATTGGTTAAGTAGTTGTTGAGAAACCTTCGTTCAAAGTTTTAAAAAAAAATTAAAGAATAACAATTTGTTTATAGATAGAGATAGCTTTGTTTTGACTTTGAGCAAAGGTTTCTCAACAACTACCTAACCAATTTCAATAGATTTTTTTTATTCAAATTCTACATATATGTAGAATTTAAATAAAAATATTTTCATCGAAATTGGTTAGGTAGTTGTTGAGAAACTTTCACTCAAATTTTTTAAAAAATTAAAGAATAACAATTTGTTTATAGATGGAGATATATTTGCTTTGATTTTGAGCAAAGGTTTCTCAACGACTACCTAACTAATTTTGATGAATTTTTTTTTATTCAAACTCTGCATATTTGTAGAATTCAAATAAAAAAAAATTCAGTAAAATTGATTAGGTAGTTGTTAAGAAACCTTTATTTAAAGTTTTAAAAAAAAATTAAAGAATAACTATTTGGGTTTTAAGTGAATATTTCTTGATAGGTTCTTGACAATTATTAAACCAATTTTTTATTATTCTTTAGATCTTTAACTAATTATTAGCATATTTTTACATTAAATTTATACTAGTGCAGATTTAACTAAGATGATTAAAAGAAAAAAATATAATAATCAGAAATATTAAAAAGTTTCTATTATAGCAATTTAGCTTTGGAAAGATCTAATAAATAAAGATAATCAAAAATTAATAAGACTACCAGATACACTGCTTTAATTTTTATTGATTTGTATACAAATAAAATTCAACTTTATATTTCTAAATATATTGATATATAATAGTAGTTAAAAAAAACTTTAAAAACATCTAAGCTATTAAGATTAAATAGTAAAAAGATATCTATTACAATTTAATTAAATTATTTTACTAAAATTTTGTAAGTTATGAAAAATATTTACTATGAAATATTTATATCAATAAAATACTACAGTATCATCAAACCTAAAACTCATTAAAAATAAGAAACAGTATATAAATTATTATTAATTATGAATAGAGTTAAATAAAAAAATATTTATCTTACCTTAAAATTATTTTAATTATAAAACAAAGTATTATTCATATGATTTTTAAATATTTGAGGCATTGTTCTTTTTCTTTTATATGAAATAATTTCAGATATCATTTGTTCTACTAGTTTGAAGTTTTTTTTTACATTTTTAATTTATTTTAAATTTTTTTTGCTTTGTTAGTCTTCGAGAATACTGAGTATATTTTTTATTACATTGATTAAATATTCATATAATTTATTACAAGTCTCTATATTTTCATCTTCAACAATTTCAGATATAGCAATAGCAGTAGTATGAATAAAGTTTTTAATATTAATATTAAAATTAATATTATTTTCTGGTAATGAAGTACTAATTAAGAGATATTGCTAGTGTTGACAAACTTGATCAAAAAATTAAGCATCTATAATTTCTTTTTGTTGTATAAAATACTTACAAATAAAAAAGCTACTTGTTGCAAAATAAGAACATCTATATACCTAATTTGAAAGACTTGTTAAATATATATTATCATTATGAATTGTAGATGATTTTAATTTTTCTATTCTTATTTAAATAATTTGCACTATAATTTCTTTTCAATTTTAGATAAAATTTGTAAAATTTTCTTTGTTGCTGTAAAACTACTTGTGTTATGATAATATAAATTATCAAATCTAAATAAGATCAGAAAAATTTATATAAAAAGTCATACTTAATTACTTTCTAGTGACTTTTGACAAATATATTTGTTTTAAAAATTGAAATTTTTGTATTATGTTCTATATGTAGCTATACAACTCATCATTCTGGACCATATCATTCATTCTATAAATAGATCTAAAGAAAGGATAATTTATACTAATTACAGAAATTATAAATTTTTTATACTGCTGTAAACTAGATTGTTTGTGCAGTTAAATATTGACTATCAGATGTAGATATTAATAGATGCTAGTATAAGTACTGATTCATTATTTTCTATAAAGAGTCTCAAAATTCCTTAGAGCAAAATTTATAATTTACAATATTATTAAGTTGTAAATGATAATTAGAATTAATAAATTAAAAGTATTGATGTGCATTTTGACTATTATAATTTATTTGTTTTGGAATTATATTATTTGAAAATCTGATTTCAATAGACTATTTGATATGCTATAAGTATAATTGTACTTTAATACTTTTCCAAACAAATTATGTAGCTGATATTTGGACAAAATCCTTATCTGTTAAAAAAAATTTAGAATTAAACTCAAGTATTTGTAATTCACAAAAAAAATCAATTAGTATGCCTATATGAATTCTATTACTACTTTTTCCATTATTCTTAAGAAATAAGTAAGCTAAAGGATATTTACTTCTATTAATTTGAGCATGAACTACATATAATTCAAAATTTAAATTATTTGTTTTATCTATAATTATAAAATAAAATTAAATAAATTTATATAGTAATAGTAATAAATAAATTAATTATTCATACTCTCTTCCTGTAGATCAATTTTACCAAATTTGAGCTAAAGACTAGCTTATAGAAAACTCACTAAATAGCTTAAGAAACACAATAAAGTTTACTAAGATAAAAGTTTTAGAACCAGAAGTTATAGCTAAACAAGTAGCAAAAATAACTAAAGAAAAGCAAAAGAAGAAACAAAATTTAGAAAACTCTTCTTGACAAAATAATTTTTGAAATTTTGGAAAATTTTTAAGAAACAACAAAAACTCTGAAAATTTAATAATTGTTTGTTATACAAGATTCAAAATGTGAATAAACTAATTAGGAAAATAATACGTAGAAGAAAAATCATATATTAGATTAGAATAAATAAAATAGAACAACAAAGATATCACATGTCATACATAGATAGTAAATAGAGTAATATACATGATAATAAAACCAGACAGCTTCTGGAGGTTTACAAAATAACATACTAAAAATTTAAGAAAAACTAAAGGGTAAAGTAATATAAATAGATTAGATTAAAATTATTTGTAAGAGAAAATATATAGAACTGAGAAAAAGCAACTAGATTAGTAGGAATAGTAACTAAAGAGTATGGTAAGGAGGTAATAGCAGAATAAAGTACAGCAGTAATAGGTCTAGAGAATTACATAGATAAAATGATCACAAAAATATTAGAAGTAGATAGCAGCATAGTATTAGTAGCTAGAGAATGGAGAAAAGTAATAGAGAGAGCAGCAATGATAGAAGGGATTGATAAAATTAAAATTATATTAGAACAAGAAGTTCAAAATATAATAGTAGAAAAAGAAGAACTTATAATCTAAGAAAGCGAAAACAAAACAGATATAGAAATACCAGATCCATTTGACTTACCAAGAACTAATAACAGATCAACAGAGATAGGAATGTTTCTAGAAAAAGACTACTTGTTAGCAACAGAAATATTAGAAGAAAATCACATCCAAATGGAAGATATTAAAGAAATTTAAGAAATATTAACAATCTCAACAAACTCTAATCAATACCCTAACTCTATAGAAGAATTAGAAGAAGACTTTACTTCTGCAAAATCTGACTTCTCTCTAGAGAGAAGTATTTAGACACCAAGTAAGGATAGATATGAAGGAAAGAAAAATATAAGCATCAAAGTAGCAGTAGTCAAAGTTCTTAGAGATAATGCAGTTTATAGAGAAAAATCATTAAGATGGTTAATTAAAAGAAATACACATTTTAAAAAAAATATTAGAGAAGTTTGAACAAGGCAATCTTTGGTGTACTCTTGTATTCGACTACTTAAAAGGCTATAAAAAAGCAAAAAAAAAACTAGAAAGTAAAAAAGAAGAATACGAGCAAGCCAAACTAATTCTAGAAGAAAGTATCAAAGAAGATAAGAGTACTCATATTTTAGCAAATAATGAAGCAGAAATATCAAACCAAGAAATGAAAGAGAAGAGAAATAAACAGGCAAAGGCAGAATTAGATAAGGTTCTATTAAGAAGAAAGAAGAAGGATACATTTGAAGATGAAAACAAGATAACAGTTTGGGATCTACTAAGTTAGGCAAAAAGAATACAAGTCTTTGAGATA